ACAGTACTAAAAAGACAACTTTGCATAACTTGTCAGTTTTTTGTTACCTTTTTCTCTACAGATGATGTCACTCACTTTCTAAACTTTAACAATCATCCACCCAACAAGGCAGCATCTATACGAATCCTACTATTGAAGTGGTTAAGCACATAAGCTCTGGAGTCAGATGATCTTAATTCAAATCCTGCATCCACTACCCTGTGTGATGCTGGGTAAGTTACTTAGTCTCTCATCCATAAAATGGGGTAATATAACCAATATCATAGGTTTCTGGAGAATACACAAGATTTTATACACATATTAAGTTTTTAGAATAGTGCCTGGAACAAAATAAATGTGCATAAAATGTTAGAAGTAACAGTAGAGTTTTGCTTTTTTTTAAGCATTGTGCTACACTGAGTATACTAAGAAAAGTAAGATGCACTCCCTCCCTTGTATGTGTTGGGCACTACAGTAGACTCTGGGACATTGGTCTAGGAACAAATGACCACCGATGTAAAAGTTCCAAAAGCTGCTATTTGGTAAGATATACAATTAATTTATTAAGAAATCTTAAAATCACATACACAAATCATTATTGTTCCTTACTGCTATCAGATTCTTCAACTTCATATAAGAAAATTATTTGTTACAGGCATCACTGCATACATGTTCTTTCTCTATTAAAAATATTCACTGATAAGAGTGATAATGTGTGACTACTAGACAAAGAAATCAAACATAGTTCTTGCCAGTTCTTGTGGAGTCTATAATCCGAAATTTAAAACAAACACATGGGGCCAGCCCGGTGGCGTAGTGGTTAAGTTTGCACACTCTGCTTCAGTGGACTGGGTTCACAGGTTCGGATCCCAGATGTGGACCTAGCACCACTTGTCAAGCCATACTGTGGCGGCATCCCACATAAAATAGAGGCAGACCGGCACAGATGTTAGCTCAGCAACTATCTGCCTCACAAAACAAAAAAACAAAACAGATATTCATGGTTCTCTCTTTTATGCTCTTTTTGCATTTCATTTATTCTTTTAAATTGATACTTGTCATTCTCAATTATAATTAATTGGGTCTGGTATTTGTCTGACTCCTCCAATAGATTGTAAGCTCTTGGGGGCAAATATTTTGTTTACAACTGGAATTGAGTTAAAAAAAAAAGGAATACATTGAGCTTTTTTGTGTGTCTTATCCAATTATACATTAAACTGGCCTGAATAGCTCTCACTTCCCAAGAACATTCCACAAAAGCACAAAACTAACGATGCATTCAAAACAAGTGTTTTATTTCATTTTTATTCATCCTCCTTGCTGAAAATCTTTAGGAAATGTAAACAGATTAAAAGACAAAATTTCCAGCCTCTTTTTATAGTTTTGTTCATCTAAATCTGGATGAATCTTTTGACAGTTTCTGAAGTCAAAAGTATTTTAGATACTGAAATAAAAACCTACCCCTAGTAAGTCTTTATTCTAAAATTAACCATTTTTACCAATATATGTACAGATACGTAACATGTCTTAAGTTGTTATAGAAATAATTACTGTAATATGCCAACTAATTTCACAGTAATTATTAAAAACTGTCATGATTAAAAGATAAAGTACAATGGTATTTTTCCTTGTAACAAAGAGTTACATGTTACTACTGGAAATCTTTACTTTCTCTCTTGAAATACCAGAAATTCTTCTGTAAAATAAACACATCTCGTCAAGACTCTCTGGAACTAGTATAATTACCAGAGGCAATCCCTGTGTAAGATCAAAGAGGCAAAACAATAACAGGCAACGTGTGACCTCTACCATGTCACCAGAGACCAATTTTTCAACAGGGAGAAGAGTCAATAATCCAGAACAGAAAACATTAAATAACGAGAAATGCTCCCAAAGTGTGGTTTACCACATCCATCAAGGCTGCCATAGTCGGAGAGTTCAGAGTCTCTATGGTCTCAGAGAACAAACTTCTGGGGATATATCACAACAATCATTAAATCTGCATAGAACACTGGCAAAAACCAATTTCCCAAATGCAGAGAAAATATTAAATTTCACAAATTTCAAAAGATATTACAATTCTCCAAACTTCATTGGATGCTTCAAAAAATAAAAGGGGAAATGCACAATAGACTATTTTTCACATAACATTCACCTAATTTCTCTTATTTACCTATCCCCATTTAATTTTCCTAAGAAGTTGTTTGCAAAGTGGGCTATGAACATTAACTAGATAAATATAATTAACAATAACCCAGACTTTTGCAGGTTTTAGTTTAATTTAGTTTTGTTTCGGTAATACTGGGTCACCAAATCCAGAAACAGGGTTTTGGTCTCCTTTGTCACGTATCTGGAATTGTAAGTGTGCAAAGAGGGGTAAAGAAATTCCCATTCATGGTAATTACAGTAAAATAGAAGTACATTTAAAATTGACTTTTAAAAGGCAACACAGATAAAGTTGTGCCTGATTGTTTTTCTTAGCTACTACTGCCAAACAGCTGTCTTCTTTCAAAATCAGATGTGAGTTAGGGAACTGAACAAATGTATCTGAATTATTTAACTTGCAAACACCCATTCCACTGGTAATTCAGAAAGTAGTCAAAGAGGGACTTAGCTTAAAAGAAAAAGTGCTGGAAATTCAAAGCAACTGCGAACATTCTGTTCTTATATGGATTTGTTACTCCCGCCGCCTTCATCTTTCCACTCTATCATCTGCCCCTGTCTTTCCATCTTCTTATCTTATTAACATTGCTAATTGTATTTGTCAGTTTTGCCACAATTTCAATGCTACTTAACCAGCTGTGGGTTTTCTCTAGGCAATTATCAGTCACTACACTTAGGTTTCTAAATTAGTTGTTGAAAGGCACTTTAACCTTGAGGAAATAAAGCACACTGTACACTAAGCCTTACATTTATGTGTATGTTGCTTTAAAATGAGTAATTATTAAAAAGGATTGAAAAAATCACACACAGAGGTAATTCACAAATATTGTAAATTTATAAATTAATAAGAAAATGCTTATACTAGTCATAATTTTATCTTTTTCCCTTTACTATACATATTGTAGTAAACGTTCTCTAACTATGTATATGTACATGGATATAGTGTATAAACTGGAACATCAAAATACTGCCAAATTCCTCTAACAGTCCCCTTTTGGTACCTATCAGGCAGGTGGAGAACACCTTTCAAAGGTATCCACAATCATATAAGTGGTATCTTGAGGTCATGGGCTGAGATAAAGAGAGCTCTTACAACATGTGGATTTTCCCCCCTTCTCCATTTCCTTTCAAAGAGAAAATTCTTTATTATATTTGCTTTTCTTATTCTCTATTCTTGTCTCTGACATTGATTTTCTTCTTACTACTACAAAATATACAAGAAACACATTCAGGGAAAAACACAAGGTTTAAGGTTATTCATCAGGGTATACCCACTTCTATGAAACACAACTAAATTTTTAAAAAATCTTCTGTAATACAGAAACATTACACTTCATATGCCATTTATTCACTTTATATGTAAAAATAAATTCAAAAATAACTTTTTAGAGTTAACAAGTTTTGGTGTTTCTAAAGGTTTATAATATCCTGTTTGTGGGTCAGTCAAAAGCTTGTAAGAATAATTTTTAAATTAATGTAGGCTTATTCCATACCCCTCTCTCTCTCCCCCACTTTCTGCTCCAAGGAAAGAAAAGGTGATATTTCAAGAGCGCAAAATTCTTCACTGAGAGACAAACATTAAAATGATAAACATTTTGGAAAGCAAAATACACTTCAAACCCTAGCTGTTTTTCAGACCTATATTGACCCTTATAGTAGTTGCCAACATTTGGGAAGGATTATCCCGCCATTAGACAAAAGCAAGCATTCCCTAGATAAATCAGGAGTTTTTGCCATGAGACTCATAAAACCTTTTCACAACACAGATTTTCAAGAGAATCCTTTAAGGTTTTAGGAGGCTGCTCCTTTTACTAAGTAACAAAATACACCCCATGGTGTCTCAGTGACCCCACTCAGCTGTCCTTTGACCTCTTCAATTGTTGAAGCCTAACTCCAGGGTCCACAGAATTTGCCTCCCATATCAAAAAGGCGAATGCTGCTTCCTCCTAGCACCTGGTGTAACAAAACGCAACAGTCCTCCCTCTCTGCTCTCTCCTCCACTCCCTCTCTGACCATTTTCCAGATGTTCCAGGCCCAAATGTTAAGCCAATACTAGGTTTCAGGAACTGCGTGGTCACTATGAAGGAACAAACAGGGACCAGGCTGAAGTGGCAATGACCCTCTTGTTCTTTTTGGCCTCAAAAGGATACGACGGGTCATAAAAGAGGAAAAGATCTTTGGCCTCCCTTGGAAATGCCAGGCTATTTAAGCACGTTGTAACTTCCAAAAGGAGAGAGATGGTCTTCGGTTATTCCCTGAGAGACAGGAGGTGCCTAAAACAGTATCCCTAAATTTGTAATTCTAAGCAAACTTTTAATTTTCTTTGACATAGGGGAAAACATTTTTTTCCTTTTCTAAATTAAAAGCCTTCAAAACATAGGGAAAAAAACCTTTTATAGAGATTTTAAAAATACATGTCAGGATAGTGCTATATGATGAAAATTTCAAATATATGCAGTGACTAGATGCCGTTTGGGTTTTTCTGCAGAGGCCATAATCTAATGTCTCCGTTATTAGAAAATTTGAAAGATAAAACCACAATCAACAAAGGGGAAGCAAGAACTGAATTCTTATTATCTTAATTTAGGTATATAAGAAATCTAACACAGAGGCTGGTGTAGGAAAAAAAACTTACTGCTGAATAAGTTGTTTGTTGGGTTTTTTTTGGTGGAGAGGATGGGGGAGGGGAGTGGAAAGCGAGGAGGGGAGGAAAGGAAGGAGCGGAGCTCATAGAAATAGTTGCTTAATCAGGTTAAGGACCCAATATAGTTCTCTTTATTTAAATTCCTAATATAACTTCCTAAAACAAATTTGATCTTGAAAAATTGGGGAGGGGACATATTGCAATTGTACAATACCTTAGTTTATTTATTAACATTTTTGAATCACGTTCATGATTAAGTTGGGCTGTCAACACTTCAGGGAGCCTGCTGCCTAGATTTTACTTGTTTAAAGCTTTTGTGCACCTGCAAAAACATAAAAAATAAAAAATATATACGTAAAGACATGAATTAATTTCCAAATGCATTATATTCTACAATACAATAATCTGAATATTTACAATTCTACAAAAATTACAATTAGAAATAAATTATCAAAGTCTTACACAACTCCATCCTAACTGGCAGATATAGATATTCCTCCTTCTTAAATACTCCTAAACAATCACTGCTAATTATATATTCTCAAAAACAAATTCTGTTGTTCTTAGGATTTCCCCCTCTAATTGTAAGCTGAATAAATCTGTCAAGTCTGCATTTTTGACAGGTGTTACTATAATGCTAAAAGCCCACAGATTATTTTCATTTTTAGGAATGAAATCAGTGAAAGGTAACTTTCTTACTCTAAGGAGTTTGAGTTTGATAATCTCTGTTGCTTGGCTAAAATTTATCTCATCAAAAAATTATAAAAAATTTAAGACATAACTAATATTGATTGAAATTATTTTTCTATTTTTTGAAACTAATGCTTTAATAATTTCCAAGAAGAAAAAGAGCTACTGTCTCTTACTCTTTTGAGTAGTGTATTTCTAGAAGAAATGAGATAGTATTTATATTATTATATATAAAATATATAAATAAAAATATATAAATATGCATAATTATGTAATAATTATTATAATTACATATAACTGGCTGAAAATTACAGTGTGCATAGTATTCTTTCCTCTAAGTAGATTATGGTCAATATAAATATTACACGGAAAAATATGAAATATAGTCATAAAGCAGCGACTGAAATAAAAACTATTTGTCATTGATTTTTATACATAATTTAGAAGTGTTTCTATTCCTTTGTTACCGTGTCTAAAAAAGAAAACAAAACCTCTTTTGTTTCCTAAGAATGTACTAACTTCAAAACGCATATTTATAGCATTAAAATATTTAAAGTAATATTAACTTGCGTTTTCTAACAACAGTTTTTATTTTACTCTCCTTTTATGCCAACTTGAAAGAGAGAAAGAACCATTTTAGATTTTGAAATAAAAATCTTTATCTTACCTCTCTTGCTGTCAGAAGAATGTCTTCAGGCACAAGAACAGTTAAAAATGCAAGACCTAGATTTTCAAACTCACGTATTTCCCACCCACCTACACACAAATAGACATCTTTTTGTAAGTCAGGAGTCTTGCTCCCTACGTCCAAACCCAAGATTACCCCATATGGTCAACAAGGTCAAACTGCATTACTGCCAATGAAACTATATGACTCCACAAGGACCTTAACGATTTTTAAAAAAGGTCAGTAATCCAATTCCAATAGCTTCAGAGTCTAAAATTGCTAATTTTTGGCCACGTGCTGCACACTTCACCTGCTAGTAATGACATTTTTGTATTTTCTTCTAATTACACTCAAAGCTAAGACCTTTGGCCCTGGGCCATAGACCCCTATTCAGGCTGCACACATTCTCTTAAACGACCTGATCCTTTGTTGTCACTCTTACTCTTTCATCTATTATTTACACCCATAGAAAAGGAAGATACTCTACCATTTGTATAGCTTAAAGCTTCTAATCATCTTAATTTCTTTGCCTTTCACTAGGTTTTTTCATAGACGAATGCCAAAAACTTTGACAAAATCATTTTTTCAACCACATCGCCCCCCGACCCCCAACCCCTTCTCCTTTCTTACTCCCTGGTCAAGCTCCTGCCTAGTCCTTCCCTTCCACAGGAGGGACTTTCTATCAGCTGGGATTTACAAATTCTAACTTTCACCAATAAAATGAATTTCTAAATATAATACAAAATCTCCACCTTGTTCTGACAGATCAATAACAATTATATTTCTTTCATGAAAGAGCCCATCAAATTAAGTGGAAAGTTACTTAAAATATCTTAAAATCTGCCCCCAGCCTCCCTAAGGCATGAGCATAGAATTTTCAGAATTCTCCTGTAAAAATGCCAAAGAAGCTTCATAAGCAAGGGATGTTATTTATTATGTGGTTAAAACTTTTCAAACATTTTAATATCTACAGTTGCTCAAATGTTTCCAAGAACAGGAAGAAAAAGGAAAGGAGATAAAAAAGAAAATAAAATATAAATTTAAAGATTAAAAATTTTTTAAATCTTTACAACATTTAAAAGACTAATTCTCCAAACAGCAAAATCCTCACACAAAACATCCTATACCATTGTAATTTCCCAACACTTTTTTCAGACGTCTTTTAATGTCCAAGCACATTTTGCAAATCCAAAGCACAGAACTGTTTACCATGATGCAGATGTCCCCCTCAGATCACGGTAGCCACCAAAAGACTTTGATTTCCAAGATGTTTATAAAATGACATATGATCCATCTTTGCTCTCTCTTTCTCTATTGCTCAGCTTACTCTTGATTTCTAACAGTATTTCCTTGTTGTCTGTCCGCTCTGCAGACCCTGAAACCCCTTGTCTTTTCTTATTTTCACCATTTGCTTCAACCAGCAGTTCACTGGAGACCCATCCATCTTGTAATGCCTAAAGTGACAGATGCTCTCAGGAGCCACCACACTGCTGAGTGAACAAAAGATAACATCACCTCTAGGAACTGCAGAGAGAAATACAACTGCAACCTTAAGACAAGGGCTGACTTGACAGACATTAGACCATAAACCTCTTCTAAGCGAAAAAGAAAACAATTGCCACACACACAAAAAACTCTGACACAATCAAAGGCAGAAAAGAGTGATTATTTGTGGATTGCCTTTTCAGTCTGTGGCTCACTTTTCTCCCCCAACGCTTTTATATTGGGGCAATTCACTTGCCAAGAGGCAAGAGAAGTTCTTGGGAAAAAAGTCTTTCTCAATTATCTTCTTTTCCTCAACAATATTCAAAGGGAAATTCATTCACATGTGTGTTTCAGTAAATCTAAGTCTTATCATGCAGCATTCTTAAGCCTGACCCGGCTTGTTTGCATAATACAATATCTGGACTCAGAAATGCTGACTCTTCTACTGCTGTGAAAGGCATATGCATGCTTTGAAAATCAAAAACACATTAGAAATTAAAAAGCAACCTCTGACACCATGTCAACAATATGTGTAGCTCATAAAAAAAGCTCACAATTCACTGTTGAGATCACCTCAAACTTGGGTTAAAAAGACAGTTAACAAGAGGATTCTGGGAAGGACTACAGATCTCTTTTTTAACAAAGGAAAGGTCATATTAACATCTCCCAGCAACAAACTAATGAGAGGGACACTGTAGAGGCAGGCGACTCTGCTTGATGCCATCTAGGGATTTTTGTTTTTATTTTTTTAATCATCTTATTTAAAATCTTCATGCAGCAATAGGTAAATTTAAACTCTACATTTAATTTTAACTTTAACCTTCAGATAAATACAGTAAAGGGAAATTTTTGAAGAACAAAAAACAATGATTTGGATGTCAATTAAGAACATTGTATGATCAATGTCAATTATGGAGATTAACAACCCATTTTATAACAGATATCAAGCAAGACTGAAGAAAATCTCTGCTGCAGTGAAATACATTAGCATTTTCACAAGGGTAAATGATGCAATATCTGTGTTAAATCCAAAACAAAGAGCTCAAACTCAAAAAAAGTCTGTCAACCATATTTCTAAGAAAGAAACATAAGCATTTACAATGACATTTCTTTAATTCAAATGTTTTCATTTTTATTTAAAATTTTTGCACAAAAAGCCTTTAAGTTACAATTATTTTTCTTTGGGGTCACTAAGGACTCCTCTCATCCTCATTCTACTAAAAAAACGTAAATTTAAAAAGATATTTTATCTCCTGTGTAAATAAGATAGCATAGATATTTCACAATTTCAGAATTTTCTGGGTTTTATTTTAATGCTGGCAAAATGAATGCATACAAAATAATTAAATGAATATATACAATTATATAACTCAATGGAAAAAAGATTAAATAATTATAGTTATCAATATATAAAGGGTTTGTTCTAATATGGGTTTGATCTCTGACTAAACAACTTTGTTTAACACACACTGACCTTAAGTAATCCTCCCAAACTATAAATCCAAAAGTACCACATCATTCAACACTCTCAAACTTTGGCATTAATACCAAGAGAAAGATGTGACCTTGAAATGACAGCTCCATTGCAGAAGGCTCAAAAAAAGACCCAATTAAACGACCTGCTTTTAAACACAATAGGATCGATAGGCATGCAGGAAAAGTACACCCCTGTGGAAAGTTCTTACTGCCTGATTGATCAAAAACAAAACAAAACTTTTCTTTTTTTAAGGGCCTCTTCCAGATCACAGTCAGTGCCAGAAATCCACACAGGAAAAAAATCCATCAAAATGAAACCCTAAAAGGGTTTACCCTTCACCATCCTATTTGCACTTCAAAACCCTGTAAGTCCTTCAGTTAAACCCCAGGGCTGAACCATTTCAATAATAAGAGAGGTGGCCAGCGGTGATTTATCTCCCATTTGGCCTCTGGACAGAGCTGTAATGTCTAGGAAACTTCCCCTCCCTCACTCGCACCCTCCCCCAAGTCCCCACCTTCATTTCGGCAGCTTCGAATCTGCAATACCTTCCAAACAACTCATATGCCCCTTCCAGTCACAAGCAAGAACGGTCTGTAACTCAAGATTTGGGTACATTTTCTTGGCAATGCTTTCACAAACTGGAATGCCGCTGAGTAATCAGACACTGAAAATACCAGGTTAAATTTCAGGTTATCTTTGCTATAAATTGGAGGAAAAAAGAAACTTCCTTAACTTTAGCCTCTCTCTTCTCACATGTGTTAATTGTTGTCAGAAAAACTTTTTCCAGTTTATACCTTGATATTTTTTACATTTTGGGCCTTATCAGCCAACTTCCTGCAGTAGTGTTCATCTATATTTAAATCCTTGCATTGTAAAATATCCTAACAAATCTAAAAAAGTGGAAATTTCACAGGTCACAGACTCCTGGGTCAAAAAGACCTTAAAAACGGATATCAGACCATTATGACCCAACTGATTTATTTGACCCTTGTTATCAAATATG